AAAAAAAAAAAAAAAAAAACAGCTTCTTTTTTCAAGAGAAGAAAAAAGATGCTACGAGAAATTCATACTGTAGTTTCTCAAATTCCCTGTAATAGTACCTCGACCAGTTTCATCTTCTTCACAGGCCGGTGCTGAAATGGTTTGTTGAGACATGAAATCCCACACTTGCAGCCTGAAGAACAGCTAGACAACAGCATCCTACAGATACAGGACAAACAAATGAAGGAACAGGGTTCAAGCCCTTACATAGAAATCAACAAGCTTGGCCACAAAGAATATAAATGTGTAGACCACTTATTTACAAAGGGCATTGAAACTTACAGACGTAAGGTGCATTCCGTATATTTATTTTTGCTTTCAATTTAGTTCATAACACTTTGAAAGTTACAATAGTAATGGAGATTGCTAGCTGAAAGTCTCATTTGTTACCAATTAAAAAGTTGAAGGTAAAATTGAAACTATTAGAACATTAAGAACAAAATCAAAACCAGGTACATAGACAGGGGCAAAGTTCTAAAGCTTGAATTGCATCATTTTAAAAAGGAGAATGAATTGTTATTCCACTGCAACAAAAATCTCAAGGTGCTGGAAAGTTTTGGCAAGATTCAGTTAGAACTCAAAAGAGATTTAATGATGAAATGAATATGGCAGGATCTTGGAACTCTTAGAATGAAGATTACTCTCAAGGAGGAATGATAGAAGGAGCTGGAAGTTCGAATAAAGTTGAATGTATTTCTTCAATTTTGAATACGGCTGACAATATTCAAAGAAAATGTCCAGATTGGTCCTTAAATCCTAGCTCCAGTCCACTTCGTCTTAAGGCTGGAGAGAACCTTCATCATACCTATTTTCATTGTTACATAACAGCACGCAATTGTGGGAGGCTTCCTTTCAGATTCTGATAATTCTCAGGTTAGCTATTTTAAGGGAAAAAATTATCTTCTCTTCTTTGTGGCCACAATTTTAAAGGAAAAGCATGCAAGAGTATTATGGGCCAATAGTGTTAAAATCTTTGATAAAGGGAATTTGGCTTGAAAGAAAAAAGCTGCCTTTCAAAAACAAAAGTACCCCCTGCAACGAATGCTCTGTTCCAATGAGGGTATTCATGTTGTACTCAATCCAAAGGTTTTCAAAGTTCTTCATTTTAAAAATTATTTCGCGTTGGATTATTTCCTTCTATCTTTCCAATTTGTGATTTCATTAGTTCTGGTTTGGAGACTTTGTTGATACGTTTCTTACGTAATTTCTGGTTTATACCTTCTCAAATACTGCTGATTTTTTTTTTTTTTTTTTTTTTTTTTTTTTTTTTTTTTTTTT